TTGACGCCACTTCAAGTTGCCAGAAAAAACGTAAATATTACCTCGATCTGTATTTTCTCCGCGTATCTAATATGTTTACATGAACATCGTATTTGCAATTTTAATATTATGTTTGCATAACAAAAGCTAAAGGTAGGCAAATGGGATTTTTCCGACACCACCTTTTTCATTTTGACTGTGTATGTAAATAATACTTCTGTTTAAAATATAGGTTACAATTTTCTGTCAATAAAGCAGTCATCATCATCATCATCATCATTTCAGCCACAGGACGTCCACTGCTGAACATAGGCCTCCCCCAATGACTTCCACATCGGACGGTTGATAGCGGCCTGCATCCAGCGCCTTCCTGCTACCTTTATCAGGTCGTTGGTCCACCTTGTGGGTGGACGTCCCACGCTGCGTTTTCCGGTACGCGGCCTCCATTCCAGAACCTTGCTGCCCCATCGGCCGTCAGTTCTGCGTACTATGTGCCATAAAGCAGTGCCTTATTGCGGTTTCCTCGGAAGACCAGCGTCGTGGTGTCTCGTGCGTGCAACACCTTGGCATGATTTTGAGTGGATCCCTTTTCGCTAACACATTTACTCACAAACATTACTATGAGGTCTCACAGTGCGAGTGGACGCACAGGGCGACATACGAACCAATAACAGAGCTTTCAACGCTGTGCGTTAGATTTTCTGCTTAACTTAAGCAAGCATCGTTTGTGAATACGGGCGTTAGGTATCATTCTATTTAGTTTCGTGTTTGGATTTGTTAATCAAAGCAAGTCGAGCAAAAAAGTTGTATTTGTTTATCTTAGACACTTAGTGGTATAAAACATTCCATATTAATTTTATTTTCATTATATCTCTATTATTGTGTTCGTTATTCCAGCAAAATGCCACAGAGTTATATTAAAACATGAAATTAATAACGCGACTCAGCGAAGATTTGACTACTGACCCAAATAATGTTATTAGGTCGCCCTCCGTGCATATTTATGGGATATGAATAACGTAGCTAAGTGTCTCTTCAAATAAGTCGTAAAAGCTAATTTTACCCATAATAAGTGGAAGATTTCCTCCCAAGGACACCGTGAGAATACTAAAAGATTCACGTTCCATATTGAATAAGTTGGCCCAAAAACAAACTGCTGACAAAAACATGTAATGGAATATAATAGATAAATTTTAGAGAGTTGTTTATAATAATTTACGATGTCGTCGGTCCACCTTGTAGGTGGACGTCCCACGCTGCGTTTTCCGGTACGCAACAAGGTGGACCGACGACATCGTAAAGGTAGCGGGGAAGCGCTGGACGCAGAGCGCTACCAATCGATCAACATGGAAAGCATTGGGGGAGGCCTATGTTCAGCAGTGGACGTTCTATGGCTGAAATGATGATGATGATGATTATTATGATAATAAATTACAAATACTTTCGTAACCTTTGTTTTTAAAGTCATTTGACTTTGAAGTTAAACTACTATTTTGACCTTAATGTAACGAAACAATTGGCTCAGCTTTTTATAAAAATTGTAACTAATATGACTGTGTTGTCAGCGGCTTGGTATGTAGTCCTTCAGATCCCACTTTTACCCAATTTATTTATCTTCAGTTCACCATACACTCATCACAATAAATCATTTTAATGCTCTGGCGCAAATTCGGACTAAAATAAAAGACAAATGTGCATTTTGATTGGCATTTAAATCTCTACATGAAAGCGTTTAAGGCCATAAAATATATTTAGTGGAGTGTCTGTTCCACCGAAGTGAATCAGAAATACTTCCTCATTAGCGAAAATTGTGAAATATTTCATACAATTTAATTTAGTACGAGTGCCTAAATTGTATGTCGTACTCAGATCATAGAAGATCTGAGATGTCGTACTTTCGTAGGTACATTTATTTTGTTATTACTCGTAAAAGCCTCGTATCAAATAGCTTTCACAGAAATTGAGTCAATGCTAGCCTTCAAGTTACTTATAGCAATCGAAACCTAGATAAAACTTTCGTTAGTGTCGGTTGTCAAATATAGCGTGGGATGTCCACCCACAAAGTGGACCGACGATAACATAAAGGTAGCAGGAAGGCGTTGGACGCAGGCCGCTACCAACTGGTCAACATGAAAATCATTGGGAGAGGCCTATGTTCAGCAGTGGACGTCCTATGGCTGAAATGATGATGACGAGATGAACTGACATATAAAGCTACTTTCATACTATGGTATACTGTCACTTGGTATGTACAGGAGCGTGGCCCTTTCTAATTTACCAGAGAAAAATAGAGGAATTGACCTATCATCATCATCATCATCATCATTTTAGCCATAGGACGTCCACTGCTGAAAATATAGGCCTCCCCTAATGCTTTCCACGTCGATCGATTGGTAGCGGCGTGCGTCCAGCGCTTCCCTGCTACCTTTACGATGTCGTCGGTCTACCTTGTATGTGAACGTCTCACGCTGCGTTTTCCGGTACGCGGCCTCCATTCCAGAACCTTGCTGCCCCATCGGCCGTCAGTTCTGCATACTATGTGCCCTGCCCATTGCCACTTCAGCTTGCTAATCCGTCGGGATATGTCAGCGACTTTAGTTCGTTTACGGATTTCATCATTTCTGATTCGATTGACCTATACTTACTTACTTACTATTTATTAAGTAGATCATCTCCAAATCCTTTGGCGTACGCTTCTGTGTAAACGTCAGCTGCATATAACACGACCAGTGCCAGTTGAACCATGACGGCTTGTAGTTGTCCTCGTCCTCATAACTCCTAGACGTTTCAGTTTATACTGGTAGTTTTAACAGCCGTTCTCGCGGCGTTTCGCTGTGGCAGTGAGCCTCTTCCCTGCTTTTGAGATGCTAAATTTGTCGTTTGAACTCCTTTATTGCAAATAAAATTGTTCAAATCATAAATTAGGTTCATAGGAGTACGAAGACGAATGAATTAAAGTATGTAATGCTGTTTTATTAATATGAATTGTGTAATCTTACTTGAGTTTTTCTTTTTCAATAAACTTTCAGTAGGTAATTAAACTAATTTATTTCATAAACATGAAATAAAATAAAAACAGAAATATTAAAATCCTGAAAAAATGAATGGGATTTTACAAAGATTGTGTAAAAATTTATTACCTTTTCAACTTCTTAGTAAAAATTAAAAGGACGTTAAATACGTCATTTTCCAACTCTTTGAAAGGGAAAAATGGGAATTTAAAGTTTTTAACTTATATAAAAGAGGCCATAAGCGTCTTATTGATAGCCAAGCTTATATTAGAATTTACTCGTATATCCTACTAATATTATAAATGCGAAAGTTTGGATGTCTGGATGTTTTTAATTTTTTATTCTTTCACGCAAAAACTACTCAATGGATTTTGATGAAACTTTACAGTATTATTGTTTATAACCCAGAATAAAATAAAGGCTATAATTTATGACGATCTGTGACAAATTAAATTTTACGCGGGTGAAGCCGCGGGCAAAAGCAAGTACATTATATTCAGTAGATAAAGATATTATTTAACGTACCTTTTCGTCGTAACGTTAATAAATCTTCGAATCCCCAGCAAGCACTTCCACTTAGGTAAAATGGGAGCCTTAATTATCCGTTAACATTATCCGTAACGAACATTATACAATAAAGACAGTGTCTCGGGCACTCAGCCCCGCACCAGAGTAAATACAAATGAGTAGGTCATCTTCATAGAAACACACCGAGCGCGGTTTGTATGTGACCGCGCGCCAATACGTATGCGGCGCGCACGCACACACTGACAAAATTTATCGTTGATTAGCGGTGAATTGCCCCGAATTTTGCGCGCTCTCATACAAACCGCGCTCGGGCGTTTCTATGAAGATGACCTACTCATTTGTATTTACTCTGCCCGCACTAATTTCGGGGGACCGTTTTCTAGATGGACCTGGATAAACTAATCTACTTATAGACCTGAATTTTGGGATAAAATACTTACCTAAACACTACCTACTACCTACACTCGCCTAACTAGGTACATTTGCCAGCTAAAGTATGGAATCATCCTATTTTGTTCCAGGCGATCTTACACGACCTAAATTACTAAATTAATATAAATTGTACTATTTAAAAGGTTGTGTTATAAACTTTAAATTGATACCATAAATAGAGGTAGGTACATAGTAGTAATTAAGCTTGGAACAGAACATAAGAGGGTGATTCCAGACTTTTGCTCGCAAGTATACATAATTACTCCATTTTTGTCAATTACCAGGAACTAATGTGTACGTACAGGTAGTGCACTTAGATTTTAATTCTTGTTGTAACTTTGGCATCAAGCCTATACTTACCTACTTTTCAGTAACACTGCAAAATATTAGAAGAGATAGTAATAGGATGGGTATGTCTTGCCCATATCTTACAAACGTCCTATTACCATCTTTTCCCACGCATCTGTCCAAATTTGGTACCAGATAGGAACTTTGGCATCCTCTGATCTCAAATTTGTGGATGAGTTTGACGTAGAATGAATTAACAAAAATACCCAGACATTTTTTACACTGCGCCATCTAAGTCTTAAACAAAGTTAGCAAAACTTTACCAGTGGTGGACCAGCTTTAGTTTTGGTTTCTTTTGCGGTTATATGCATTGTGCAAATTACAAATTCTAAATAGGTAAATGAAATCTTTTTTCTAATTTGTGCGAATTGGAACTCTAATGCTTCAAAAATAAGCCCCCTGAAAGCCGACACATCATCAATCAAGACTGAGCTCGATGGCGGACGTAACGTTACGGCGACGTTATAACGGCATTAGTTTTGATTAAGAAAAATCGACCGACAGTAATTTATTTTTAGTTTATTTGTTAATAAACATATTTATTAGGTTTAATTAGTCATTATTTAATTAGTTTTATCAAATTTACAGTTCAGTAACGTCACCCGCGATAAAATTTTCCAAAACAACATGCAATACTTTCCCTGTTTGAAAAACATTATTCATTTAATTAGTCTGGACGACATTGTACGCACAATATTCGAACTAATTTGTATATTTTATAAAACAAAATGTTTAAGACGGAGATTCTACTCGGCGTTGTTGCCTTGTCAATCGGCGTAGTTCACTCACTGTGCTCTTATCGTGATGAGAGTCCAGCTGACTCATGGGGTGAGTTACTCTTGTATCATCATCATCATCATTTCAGCCATAGGACGTCCACTGCTGAACAAAGGCCTCCCCCAATGATTTCCACAAAGACCGGTTGTTAGCGGCCTGCATCCAGCGCCTTCCTGCTACCGTTATGAAGTCGTCGGTCCCACGCTGCGCTTTCCAGTACTTGGCCTCCACTCCAAAACCTTACTGCCCCATACGTGCTATTTTATACATTTTTATTGTTTTATCGTATATTTTTTAAATTTTTCAAACATTTGCGTCTGTGAATAATAATCTTACATTGATGAGCTAATGATGAAAGATTAAACTCCTTAACTTTAATTTTAATCTGCCATCCATCAGCTCATCTTCTAATGAATTTGAAGTTTATCGAAAAGATACTGTGTCGAATTTGGGCTCGTAAGAAACATGAAGATGAATACTATTTTTCTCATCGTTAATTTCCTTGTTTCAGATATTGTTATCTCCAGTGAGGGCCAACTAGAGTTCTACAGTAACCAAACCAAAACAAACAGCGAAGGCACTGGCTTTAGGGACCTTTCTGCTTTGGCTTACGATGCTGTCCACAATGTGCTGTTCTTCGTCGACAGGGCAAACGACAACGCAACCATATTCAGCTTCAATTTAGCAACAAAGAAGTTCCAGTCTTTAGTCAAGAATAAGTGGCTCCAGAACATCCAGGGTCTGGCCTTTGATCCCGTGAAAAGAATGCTTTTCTGGACTGACATAATAGAAAGCAGCATATTCTGGATGTCATTGATGCCAGACTCCGAAAACGATGGCTATGGCAACGTTTTGATCAAAATGAACGATGAGATCCCAGTATCGATTGCCGTCGATAGCTGCAGAGAGTAAGTAAGATACATTGTTTGAAGATATTGTCGCTACTTATTGATGTACCAATTTTTATTTCTTGGCTATGTCAGGTCATGGCAATAGGTACTCGTCTTTCCTTCGTCATGATTATACGCACAGATCACAGAAATAGATCTCTATGGTTACCTATACGTCATGGAAACATGTACCTAAAGTATGGCCAACGAGAAGCGATACCAAATGTAAACAAACCCAATGTCATGGTCATTAGAAATAGTGCATAACTTTTTAATAGTTATATTACAAATTTTTGTAGACAATATAATTTTAAAAAATATCTGGCAAACCATAAAAATAGATGTTTTATTGAATTTTGTTTTTGTTATAATTTGAATTATTTGAATTATTTGTTTAATGTAGATTTAAATTAAATAAAGAGAATAATAAAATAAGAACCAACAAGTAACAGATCCGCCCTCGTGAATTGCAACAACTATGTATACTAAAATTTACGTCCGAATGTTGACGAACCCGTCTGACTTTGACATATTTTGGCGGGAGAACGAGACATTACGACAAATTTTAATACACAAGATCGGAAGAGACAGAATAGATTGTCAACTCGACAGTCGTATCGACCTTTCGTATCGCTGCTAGTTGGCCGTACTTTACACGTTATAAACTTTCGAAAAACAAAGCTGAAAAGTTTTTAGGGTTCCGTAGTCATGACAAGGAACCCTTATTTTACTTAAATTTAGCCACGTAACATTTTCATTTTTATTTTAATGACTGTGTCCATTATTGGCTTAAACATATAAATAACTAGATTTTGCCCGCGGCTTCACCCGCGTGAAATTTTGTTTGTCACAGATTGACATAAATTATAGCCTATATGTATGTTAATCTGGGTTATAAACAATAATACTGTAAAGTTTCATCAAAATCTGTTCAGTAGTTTTTGCGTGAAAGAGTAACAAACATCCAGACATCCAGACATCCACACAAACTTTCGCATTTATAATATTAGTACGATTAGTAGGATAGGATAGTAGGCAGTAGGATGTTTCTTCATAACTTTAATTAAATTTGTTCTGTTTTATTCCAGATACATTTACTGGACGTGTATCCTGATAACAGATTCAAAATCATCGATAGAAAGATCTAAATTTGATGGTTCAGAGAGGGAGGTCATTGTTCACACTCATCTTCACATGCCACTGCAACTGGGCCTAGCCATCGACCAAAGAACTAAGAGATTATATTGGGCAGATGAAAAAGAGGGCATACATTTTTCCATAGAAAGTTCTAACCTAGAAGGAGAGGACAGGCAGATATTGCTAAATGACGCTCATCACCGACCAAATACTTTAACAATATCAAAGGACTGGATCTACTGGGTCCATTCGGGATACAAAACCGTCTGGAAATTGGCAAAGGACAAAGAAAACGTTGAACCTTTGGAAGTGCTCAAGCTCACAAAAAGCATTTTTGGAGTAGTTGCGAATTACGGAATCCCTGAGTGTGAGACTTTGCCCAGAACGTTGCGAAATAAAGCAGCTAGATTCGCCAACTCTAAGAATGCATGGTTGGCCCTTGTACTTTATTTTTGTATTTTCACTGTATCCTCTCACTTTTATTAGTAGGTACAGCCGGGTTGGAGGGCGCGCCGTGATAAAATCCTATCGATGATTTTAGACTACAAACGTATTATTATCGCGTAAAATTGATAAAATCTCGCGATAGAAGCTTGTCGCGGCGCGCATCCTTGATAGTATTTTTGTGGATAACTGACAGTGTTGATTGTGTGTATAATTACTTTAAACTGTTTAAATTATAATTTTTGTACTTACTGTTGTTTATTGTCCTTACTTTACAGTTAAGGGCTAGTATGTATTTCTTTTCACTTTTTAAAGTAAGTTTCACGAGAGCTTTGTAATTTTGTTACGTGGTTTTGGTGAAACCGTAAGAGGTGCTTTTGGTTTTTTTTCTCGTTTTAAAGACTAGTTCGGGGCCAATTCCAATTTCTATTTAGTAAGAAGTCATATCGTCAAATACTTTCTAAATGACAAAATTATAAAGGTNGTAAGTCATACCCAGCTTTTGGCCTAGGGGGAGGGGCAAGCCTTACCCAGCTTCTGGCCTGGGGGGAGGGGGAGGGGTCAAGTCATACCCAGTTTCTGGCCCGCCCATGGGAACGGCGAATAGATAGGTAGGTTTAACTCAGAAAAACTAAATAACAGGTAGGTATTGCGTGTACATCGAAATGATCTTCATAGCAATGTCTTGTAGCCTAGGCAGAGTGTATCTGCCTCAGCTATACTAATATTGTTAGAAGTTAAATTAATACTTATACATTTTTATACTTTACTTGGACGAAGATATGACTCAACAACACTTATGAACACTTTATTTGCATAAATCGCCAAATATACCACCGCGGAGACCCTAATCGCGTCTCCGCGTTCCATTGAATCGTATGAGCGTATGGATTTTTTGCGATATTTTTCACAATTTCTATTTTAAAAAAATACCTATCGATAGCTTACTTTATTCTGATGAATAAATGTCATAACAAGTTTTTCTCTAAAACTGATAGTATGGCTAGAAAAAAATATTTTCTATCCACGCAGTACGCCGGCAGCGTTCGGATCGGATATAATGACGTCAGCGGTCCCGCGCCGGGCGGTCAGTGAACTTTTTTAGTAATTTGGCCATAACTTTGTCAATTTTTGTCGTAGAACAAAAATTTTTGGACTGTATATTAAGGATTTCTTAGACCTATAAATCTGCATTCACAGCTAAAAATCGAAATGATCCTCATTATAAAGGTACCTATTAAATTAAACAAAAATGTTAATCTTTCTTCAGGTAATAGGGTAAATTCACCTTAAAGTAACATCTTTCGTAAAAATTTTAAAAAGAACTATTTGTGCAACATTTTTTATTTTTTATATAGCAAGGGCCATTTTTACACAGAAAAACACGTTATCTATACTTAATGTTATAAAGCTGAAGAGTTTGTTTGTTTACTTGAACGCACTAATCTCAGGAACTACCGGTTCGATTTGAAAAATTTTTTCAGTGTTAGATAGCCTATTTATCCTGGAAGGCTATAGGCTACATACCATCACGCCATGAGTAATAGGTGCAGAGCAAAAATGAAAAATGTTGCGAAAACGGGTTTTCACGTGTACCTACGAAGTCGCGGGCACAGCTAGTTATTAATATGGCCAGTAGAGAAAATATTAGTCAAAAAATTTCCGTCGCTAATTGGTCGTAGAGTTTTAAGGTAGCAGCTGTTAGGGCCAAGGATAAGAAGTATCAAGACCTTAAGATATAGGGAGACTAGGTGTAGACTCACCATTACTCTCATTACTGCAGTTAGCACATCAAGCTAAATATGATACAATAAGAAAGTTGTAAAAGGAGTTTTTGTAACGGAAATAACTATAATAATACTCTGATTCACTGGTGACTATGTATAGGTAAAAGAGTGCCCTTTTTTCAGAACACCGAATGTCCCATATGGCTGACTTATAATATTTGTTCCATGTAGCCCCATAAGGTCTTATTAAAGCACTAGATAGGATAAAATAATTGTTGGTTGTTTCTTTCTCTTCCTCCAATGTTTCCCAACCATTTACATACTCCACAAATATTCACAAAACTAATAAAAACCGCGTTGAAAGCTATAAAAAGAATCCACAGGTGAGTACTGTAGCTTAATTAACTTTGTTCATAGCAATTAAAAGAAGGGGTGAGACACCAGCCCCGGGTGACCTATTTCCGTTCTTGATTCACTCAGGTCAATATGACGACCCACTACACTCAAATGGGAACTCTAACGGGACAAATTTAAAGTTTCATTTCCGTTTTGGGGGGAAAGTCTGGTACTGAAATAGATTTGCAAGGTATCCAGTTTGAACAGTATTGATTGTTCTGCAGTGAAATGGCTGAATTCCCAATAAATTTGCTATCGTCATTATGACCTCGTTAATATGCATGTTCATAATGATTATCTTTATGATGAAAGTTTAGCAATTTTTCAAGCTTTTATAGTTTGCTTTAAACGGTCTAGAGCCCTTCCTTGTGGCATCCCTTTGGGGGAACTTATACCCAAGATTGAGCTTCTAGAAAGAAACTAGAACTGGTATTTGTTGATTCTAGGGCATTGGTAGATGAATTTAAAGCTAGTTTACTATACTATCTAAATATATAAAAGGAGAAACTGACTGACTGACTGACAGATCAACGCACAGCCTAAACGGCTAAACGTAGGCACTTGAAATTTGGAAGGGACGTAGCTTAGGTACCGTAGAGGTGCACTAAGAAAGGAATTCCCAAAATTCCCACGGGAACGGGAATTAGCGGGAAAAACGGGATTCACGCGTACGAAGTCGCGGGCGGCCGCTAGTAAAGTATAAAGTTTAAAAAGTTCTAGAACAAACTAACACAGAAAATATTAATTAACAATTTTACCATTGCTTTGGGATAATAAGGAGGGCTGGTGTACAGAGAAAGAAATTGCAAAATAATCTTGATTCACGCATAGCTTATTACATTTTGGATCTCAAAGTAATTCATGGTAAAGTAGGACAAAACCTTGGCAAAGAACTTTGGCTTTTACGGCATCGTAAAAGAAAGAAATTGACAGAGCCCACCAAGCAAATATAAGTCCCGCCCGTTTCCTACACATCTCTATTTTTAGCGCCTTTCTTTGCTCTAACCTGCTCATATAACCTTGCACGCAAAACTGAATCTTCAAGCCTTGTCTGTAATAATGAATTTCCAAGAAGAGCCTTAGAATAATCGCAGACATAGCATGGGAATATTTTAAACGTGCCATATGTGCTCGGGACCTTCAAAGGGACGGAATGAAATTCTAAGTGAATCAAATATCAGTTATAGAGGTAAACGGCTCCTTTGAAGAAATCTATTGTGAAGTTGAATATGATTTTATTTCTTAGGCGTTCATAATTTTAAATCGACTTCAAATATTTTTTTATTATGAGGCAAGGCCACTCGATGGACTGACGATCTGGTGAAGGTCGCGGGTTGCACTTGGATGCGCTAAGCGCAGGACTGGTCGTTATGTAAATCCTTGGTCCAGCAGTGGACGTTTTTGACTGAAGTGATGATGATGATGATGATGATGATGATGATGATGATGATGATAAAGTACCTAAGTAGAATAAATTTCATTTTCATTTAAGTTAAATATTGAAATTTCTTTAATATTTACATTATTTGCACTACCAGAATTCAACATAGACACAAATATTTTACATTCAGGTTCTAAAATGCCCTTTTATTCTCTATGCTGCACTGTGTCCTTGTGGTTGTAATTCATAGCACAACGTAAAATAACGGATGTACCTACCTACTATTCAATTAACTAAAATTAACACCTTCCTATAAAATAATTAATCAATGCCACATGTAGTATACTTATTATTACTAATTTATAACTATTAAGGGCTGCATATTGTTATATTTTTTTATATTTTAATTTATTATCAATAGAGAGTTGAATTTTTAATCATCATCGATTGCTGCGGAAAAAAGAGAATAAGGTCACGGGAAAAATTTGGAATAATCAATTATCACATAGTATAAAACAAAGTCGCTTCGCTGTCTGTCTGTGTATGCTTAGATCTTTAAAACTGCGCAACGGATTTTTAAAGAACTAATAGAATCGCTTCATATAGTTACCTCGCAACAGCTCTGTTTAGAGATTCAACTTTTTTTCATGCGTTACAAGGCAGGTATTTGAACGCCATCGCACCTAGTGTTAAGTGAGATGCAATCTAGGATGGTACATACCTGCCCTGCCCTATTCACTTTCGCCTTGAAAAGGTCCGGATGAAAGTGTTCAGAAAAGGCAGCAGCAGGCAGTGAATTCCAGCCCCTAGCTGTTCGCATTATAAAAAAGTTGTCGAACCGCATAGTGCGAGCTGGTGGAATGTCGACAATGTAGGGATGGTGCGCTAACCTGCGTCTGGTTCCCTGGTGATGGAAGGTGTGAACTGTGCATATTCACAGCTTCGCTACACATCTTCGTAGGCAAATCTCTGGTGGGAACGCAGCCTAAACAAGATTTTACTATCCTCTTAACTAAGTATGCCCACTATAGGCACTATAGCTACATCGGAAGCGGAGCCATCTGCTACGTTCCATCTCACAGAATTATGTAAATTATGTATAGGAGCAGATCGTTCCGTGCTCGTTGTTTTGGAAACCCTCTCCCTCTTTGCCCGCTGTCCACTCTACTGGAAGTAAAGCCGGACGTGTACAATGTGGGACGTTAATATAGACTTTTTATGCGGGAACGGAACGGCGATTTGGTGGAAAATTTTGATAAAGTACTTATGTACCAACATGGAAAAATACGGGTTTTGCGACACGGATTGTGTTGGTGTGATGTTCTGAAGCAAAACTTTTGTGCACTTGATAAATTACTAACTAAAATACTTAAAATAAGTACCTACGAGTACTTTATGAAATTCTGAATGAAATATGTTTTTATTTCAAAGTAGCTTTCCGCCCGCGGCTTCGCCCGCGTGGAATTTTGTCTGTCACAGAAAAACTTATTCGCGCGCGTCCCTGTTTCAAAAACCGGGATAAAAACTATCCTATGTTCTTTCCCGGGACTCAAACTATCTCTATGCCAAATTTCATCAAAATCGGTTGCGAGGTTTAAGCGGGAAAGCGTAACAGACAGACAGACAGACAGACAGACAGACAGAGTTACTTTCGCATTTATAATATTAGTTGGGATGGGATAGTCTATCACATTATGCATTTTTTTCACAAAGTAGCAGCTATTTTAACTACATGAGTACAATGGCATGGTGTCGTCTATAGTTAGTCATATTTAACAAAGAAATCGATAAAATCCATCTAACAAGGTAATCTTGCATCAATAGTCAATTATGCTAGACGTAGGCTTANCCAACATGGAAAAATACGGGTTTTGCGACACAGATTGTGTTGGTGTGATGTTCTGAAGCAAAACTTTTGTGCACTTGATAAATTACTAACTAAAATACTTAAAATAAGTGCCTACGAGTACTCTATGAATATGTTTTTATGTTAAAAACAGTTAGATCTTTTTCACAAAGTAGCGGCTATTTTAACTACATACGAATACAATGGCATGGTGTCGTCTTTAGTTACAATAGTCAGTCATATTTAACAAAGAAGAAATCGATAAAATCCATCTTACAAAGGTAATCTTGTACAGTTGTATGTGCAAAAGTGTAAATAAATAAATAAATAAATCTTGCATCAATAGTCAATTATGCTAGACCTAGGCTTACAATATTCCGAGTGATGTATTTATAGACTAAATGCTAAGGTATTTAATATTTCACGAAAATGTACTGTACAGTAATAATATTACATTGCTGTACCGTGGGCCCGCCTACTAAGGACGTGTGGGCTCGGACCCGTTTGGCCGTGGGCGACCCGCAAAGGGCCGGTTTAAGGACCCACAATGGCCCCGATAAATGTAAATGATTCATCATCATGCCACAGGACATCCACTGCTAAACATAGGCCTCCCTAAAGATTTTCAGATTTGCCGGTTGGTAGCTTCATGCTGCTATGATTTCTAATCAGCTTTTCGTCACAGAAACTCGGCGCAGGCCTGAAATATCTGTTTTCCTAAAATGTACAATTCTCAAAAAGTTTACGTACTCCTCATGTTTGCATTCCTATTTTGTCAGCTTGATTGAAATGTCTTCAATTTAAAATATGTGCAGTATATTAGAAGGTCTTCTCATAATGTTTACATACATAATTTCTATAATCTGAAAAGCGAACATTGTACAAAAACTGCCATTCTTGGAGACAGACAATTTTAAATAGTTAAAATTTTGAGAAGCTGATATTATGCACAAGACGTGCTCACATTCTGAATAGCAGACATTTTGCGAAAAATACATTTTAGGAAAATGGATATTTCAGGCCTGAACCAGAAATTCTATTCTCACTTGCGTCCAAGAATTTAACTATTTTTATTTTATTTTATTCTATTTCTTCCAAGAATTACCCATATTAAGTTTTAAGTCCTTACTACGAGTACCTATACTGTCTACAATCTATAAGTTTTCTTGCTCCTACTTTTGCAGCAAAGATCACATTTCCTTTAAGTGTAGTAGGTAACTCTCTTATAAATATTATTTTTATTATTATTATTTATACCGCCAACAACCTGAATCCCTCCCTGGCTTTGTAGATAATAAAATAATAATTTCACACAAGATTTACAAGTCAGCCAAGGGATAGACTGCTTTGATAAGGTACCTTTATTATTAAATTAGTGTCTGTTCTGCCATTCTGTGCTACTTCAAATAATATTAAATATTAATGGTTCTCAATTTATTATGGTGCCCAAACGGTCGTGATATAAGTTGGTTGGACAACTTTAACACAATCTTCTGCCGTTAAATACGTACAGACATAATTGTAATGTAAAATGCTGTAGAAAGTATCAACTAACAACCATTTATGGGACGTCCACCTACAAGGTGAACCGATGCCCTCATAATTGTAGCAGGAAGGCGCTGG